CCGCACTGGGATGCCCGAAGTGCACACACCGGGAATCGAACCCGAGACCTTTGCTCTGATACCATGTCAGAATCCCAGCCACTAACCACTGGGATAAAAGGGCTTGTTTATGTAGCGGGTGAGTGCGCCCATAACCCCCCAGGCCGACGTGCCTGTAACCCTTCCCTAGGATCATCGGGGATCTCCAGTGGACCTCTGACACGAGGAACATGCTTCACCTGCCCCGAAGCAGACTTAACGCATCAACCGTTTCCATCTCACCATAATCCAAGCGCACCAGCTTATGCACCACTCGAAAAGGTGTACAGCGACATCCTGTACAACCGCGAGCCCGGACAAAACGCCTACAACTACACGATTACCTTCATCGACGCCGCGACCAGATACGTCTGGCACGTCAACCTACCAAGCCGCGACATGGCCTTCGAAGCGTTCGTCGCGTGGCTTCCTGCAGCAGAAAGAGAATCGGGCGTAAAACTGAAAAGTTTCCAGTCAGACGGGGGAGGAGAATACACCTCACAGAGGTTCAAGGACTACTTGGCAGAGAGGGGAATCAAGCGGCTCATCTCCCTTCCCTACGCCCATCAACAGCAAGGCGTAGCAGAAAGGATGAACAGGACACTCCAAGCCACCATGCGCAAGCTGCTACGTGGCATGCATCTGCCCAACCACCAGTGGCCCGAAGCAATGGACCACGCCGTCATGCTGCACAACTTGCTCTCGTCATCATCGCTCCCGAACAACGCATCACCGCACCTGCTGTGGACAGGAAAATTGGGCAGCACAAAAATGTTACGAGTTTTTGGGTGCATGGTACAGTACCGACCCCCATCTGCACGCGCCGGCCGATTCTCCCAACGAGCACAGTGGGGACTACACCTGGGCATCGAAAAACACTACAACGCATGGAAAATCTTCGACATCAACAGCAAAGAAACAGTCGCAGCACGTGATGTCATTTTCTACGAGAACCTCACGAGAGCAAACAGACCTGATCCCTCAGGCGGATTCATCGGCACCCGAGCCTTCGCCTCAGCAGAAGATGAAGCTGGCCGAGCCTCGGAAGAAGCCGGACCTCTTCCCTACTGCCCAGTGGACGTTCCAATGGACGATGACAACCCACGCGAAAGCATCAACGCCGAAGTTTACTACCACTTCGCCGACAACGGTTACGTTACACCCGCTGAAGTCAACACCAACGAAGCAGAACGCATAGGACCAAATTTCATACATGATCCAGAAGCTGGAGACGAAGCAGTCTATCCCGAGGACACCACACTCCCCCGCTACACACAGAGTGGACTTCAGATACTCGGGCTCGTCACCGCGGTCCACGGCGCCGCCATTCCTAAAGAGCCTGCAACGATTCAGCAGGCTCTGGGGGGGAGCACAGGGAAAAATGGCGCGAAGCCATGGACAAGGAACTAAAGGCATTAGAAGAGCGCAACACGTGGAAAGTCGTTCCCATCGGCGTAGCACGAAACAAAAAAATCCTTACCGGCAAATGGGTCTTCCGCGTGAAGACGAAAGCAGATGGCACCATCGAGAAGTTCAAAGCACGATGGGTCGTGCGCGGCTTTGACCAGGAACACGGATGGGACTTCACCGAAACCTTCGCTCCGGTCAGTCGCCACACTTCACTCCGCATCCTCCTCGCAATCGCCGCCATGAAGAAGAAGAAGCTGCGACAAATCGACGTCGCAAACACGTTTCTTTACGCACCTGTGGATGCAGAGATCTTCGTGGAGCTACCACACGGCTCCAATACAAACTCCACACACGTCTGCCAGCTGCTCAAATCGCTCTACGGCATCAAGCAGGCTCCGCGACTGTGGCAACAGTACCTGCACGCTCGCCTCATCCGCATCGGCTTCAAACAACTACCGCACGACCAAGGCATGTACCGGCTCACGAAGAACGACGACTACGTTCTACTAATCGTCTATGTGGACGATCTCCTCTACATCGGATCAATTGACGGCATCACTACCTGGTTCGAAGGGGAGCTGCAGAAAGACCTCACGCTCACGGTCTCGCCTACCGTCACTCAGTACCTCGGCCTCAACATCCGAGAAGAAGAGGACGCAATCTACCTCAGCGCCGAGAAGTACGCCGACACCATCGCCAAGCGTTTCGCCCTAACGCCGACCGCGATCTCCACGCCATACCGCTACACGACAGGAACCGACAAGGGAGGATCCGCTCTACTCAAACCCGCCGGCATACGCGACTATCAGAAGAAACTAGGATGCCTCCTCTTCGCGGCCGTTACCTGCCGTCCCGACCTCTCATATTCCGCAAGCCAGCTCGCTACCTACCTCAAAAGGCCCGAAGCAGAACACCTAGCGGAGCTCGACCGCGCTCTTCACTACTTCATCAGCACCCCGACGATCGGCCTAACCTACCACAAGAACGCAACTACACCAACTAAGCTAATCGGCTACGTCGACGCCGATCACGCCGGCGACTCCGACAACAGGCGCTCACGCACCGGCTACATCTACCGCCTCGAACCCATCGGTCCTATCTCCTGGCAGTCGAGCAAGCAGGAGTTAATCGCGCTATCATCAACTTAAGCAGAATACATCGCACTCTGCTCAGCCACCAAGGAGGGACTTTATCTTCGCGAGCTGCTGGAAGAAGCAAAGTTAGCCGAGTTACCCAACTTCACCCTGTTCTGCGACAACCAGTCGGCAATTCGCATCGCCAACAAGAACGGCTTCGCGAACAGGACGAAACACATCGCCCTACGCTACTTCTTCGTGAAGGACGAGATCGAGAAAGGGAGACTCGAGCTGTCATACTGCCCCACATCCGAGATGGCAGCTGACTACTTGACCAAGAAGCTCGGAAAACAGAAATTCGAATACTGCATGCTGCTGACTGGACAGAGCCACGTCATCAGCAGCGACACTCCAGAAGCGAAGGGGAGTGTTGGAAACAGTAAATCTTAAGCGCCTCTGTCGTGTCGAAACACCGCACGAGAAGTGAAGCAAATCTTATCGAAGCACCCGCGAGTCAACCCTCGGAGGTTGAGAGGTTGCTGGAGGTTACGCGAAAGTCAAAGGTCAAGCGACCTTTGACCTGACAAGTGCAGCGCGACAGTTAAGGACACACAACTGACTCGTTACAGAGCAGTTGCCCGAGTCGTACTGTATCGAACCGCAACAGCAACAGTAAAGTAGTTACAACCGTATCTTTTCGTATTCCTTGTACTATTATATATTCTTGTATCTCTTTGCTATAATCAATCTACTTTGCCCTCACATACTAGCACATATTCTTGAGGTTCACAAACTCTTCATTAAACGCTTCCGCTACTACAAAGTTCCTACCTAGAGTTTTACCTCTGCAAAGATCCTAAGGGCTTATCTCAGCCCAACAAGAACGACATCCGTGGCGTGTCAATGATGTTTTTCAGTCCATCTGTCTCCCATATTCACTTGCTCGTTTACTGACATTTCTATGCGTTGCATTTCTGTGGTGGCAGGAAATATGAATTGACGGGGTTCTGAAGTTTTTGAAATGTATTACTATTGATCAGCTAAGTTCTGGTGCTTAATCGATTCCTTGTGTTTTTTTTTATGCCATAATTGTACCATGAGTCTGACATTTGGTATTTAACATGGTCATTATTAAAAATCAGTTGTGCACCATATAACACAGCGTATACACGATGAGATTGTTTTAGCACCAGTGATTACGCGGCTTCTGTCTAGGGTTTGACAATATAGTGAAATTGTAAACCATATTACGAAAAAAATATTACGAATTCACAAAAGTGTACTGAAACTGTACTGTTCCCGAAAATGTTAATAGGAAGGATTAAGGGTCGCGTGGGTTCGTTCCAGAAAGATGGGAGCGGTTCCACGCGGTGACTTGTCCGCATTTCGTATCGACGATGCGGCTCGCACGTGATTGGCCGCAGAGGTTGGTTTGTGGCTTCAAATGGGAGAAGATCATATTGGGGCCGAACATTAGCAGGGAAGTGTCCAAATTAGGGCCGGATAGCCGAACCTGAATTTTTGGAGTCAACAACCGACTTTCCCATGCTAGCGTATGTGATTTCACTTGTCCGAGATTCTCACCGCCCCACGCGTCGTAACTGACGGGGAGTAAACTTTTGGTTTTTTTTTGTCGAAACATCTCTGTATTTTCCACTCGTTTGCGCTACCAAGCACTAGCGCAACCCGGAACTGTCAGGGCAGACCAGAAAAACTAAACCCTAAACCCCTAAACACGGGAACCTCCCTGGAGTTTAGGGTTGATGCCTCCCCGAGTCGCATCCATTTCCGTTGGGTTTTTTTTTTTGTCAGGAAAAGTGATGTGATTTTTCCAAGTAACAATCATGTACTGCTGTTCTAAAAAAATATAAACACTACGAAACCACCCCCAGAGGAATTCGACGCGAGCTTCGTAATAGGCGGCGATCTTAATCTAAAACAAATCACTGAACAAAAACAGTCGATATTTTTAAATTTCCTTTAGGTCTCGGTTCGGAACCTAGGCCCAGCCACCTGGGCAGCCCCGGGGGTATATCCAACGGTCGTGATTTACCCGGCCCTAATTTGGTCACTTCTCTGCTAATGTTCGGCCCCAGTTTGATCTTTGCCCGCTTCAAATGGGCATCGTTGTGGAGACCTGTGGGTCACCTCTGGGGTAACCCCAGGGTCACCGCGAACCTGATACATCGGTGCGGTAACCTCGAGGAAATCTATACTGAATCCTTTGGGTTACCCACAGGTATTTTGCGACTATTTTTTTTAGGAACATGATGTTCCTTGTGCGACAATTTTGGGACTTGTCGTCCTGCCACGCACGACACTTGATCGAGAGGCTCTCTGAGAGCCAGAGTTTTAGGATCCGCTCTCGGTAACTCTTCACCACATGCTTTGAAAAGTTGGCTGCGATTTACCACGCACGACCTGTCCGCGCATACGCACGATCTGTCCGCGCATACGCGGGATCTGTTCACGACAGGGCCGCCTTTTTTGCCTGACATGTGCAAGTGCCCGCCTAGCGACCGGATGTTGGTGCTGTTTGCATATGCCCGTAAGCAACACCAACCACTAGTCGTCATTCGATTTCCATCCTTATATATTTCTACAGCCCGTTTAACAGCCCGTTTAACAGCCCAGTCCGTTTGACTCCGCGTTCACTGTTCGTGGAGTAGGTGAGACTCCCACCATCTGCACGTCCGTTCAACTTCGTCGACTCGACAGCCCTCCCCATTTGGACTCGCGGTCTCCAGCAGAAGCCTTACTTCCATCCTCTCCATAAAATGCAGCGCTGCTACGGCGAACCCATTCAAAAACCCGCGTCTCGTGTCCTATTGCTACACAAGTCGCTCCTGTTGCTCCTGCTGCTGTCACCGTGACAGCCATGGGGCCTACTACGATGCCCCAGCAGGAAGATCCTCAGAAGGACGTGCAGCAGCGCCTTCTGTGGTAAAGGCGGCGGCGTCACTGTCATGAATGAACAGGTCCTGGCCTGCCCTTTTCCCCCGTTTATCCAATCCCCCCTAATCCCTCTCTTCCCCTTACTTCTTTCTACTCCCCCCTCCCCCAGCAGTGCTGGTGGAGAAGATCCTGCGTGAGCAGCCGGGTGTCGGGCAGCTGTATTTGCTCATCCAACCCACCGCGCTCAGCACGGCATCGCAGCGCCTCAAGCAACAGGTGCGCTGCCTGCTCCGTGCGCTCAGGTGCTTCTTCCTTCTCCCCCGCTCCTTGCCCCCTCCTTCCCCCGCGTCTCTGCTTCTCCCCTCACTCCCCCACATGCTCTCCTTCCCCCTTCCTTCACGGCGCGTCTCTCCTGCTCCCGCGTCTGCGTGCCCCTCCCTCCACTGCGTGTGCTTCCAGCCCCCCCTCGCGCGGCATCCTGCACCTCCACCTGCGCCCCACAACACACCCTCCTCTCCTCCGCTGCTCCCCCCCTCTCCACCCCCCCATCAGGTGGTGCCCTCGCCGCTCTTCGCTCACCTGCGGCAGCGCCACGGGGAGGGCTACGAGGCGTTCATGGCGAGCAAGCTCACGGCGGTGCCGGGCAACATGGGCAGCGACGGCCTGGGGCTGCCTGCACAAGACGCTGCTGCACTGGCGGGCTCGCTGCACGTCATCTTCAACTTCGCCGCCACCACTGACTTTGAAGCCCCGTATGCCATGCCGCCCGCTCGCTGGTAGCTCGCTCCAAGGGTGTGAGCTCTGGTGTTTGGAGGGGTGCTCTCTGGTTATTCTGCCCTCTTGGGATTTGTCCTGCCTTCTCATCTGACATTTGTTCGGTTCATGTTGCCACGTGTCCCTCTGCCTGTCAGGTATGACGTGGCACTCAACATCAACACCCTGGGCCCGCGGCGGCTGCTGGCCTTCGCCAAGCAGTGCACGCAGCTGGAGCTGCTGGTGCATGTGTCCACTGGTGAGGCGCAACTGACAATTCAGGGCCGACAGGGCTTTAGATGTGATGTTTGTAACAATGATATTGTAACACTTTTGCAAGGAGACTGTTTTTTTCACCGCCCACTCTCTCCCCTCCATCTCGCCCTCCTCCTCTTCCTGGCAGCCTATGTGAACGGGCAGTACAAGGGGAGGTGCATGGAGCAGCCCTTCTCTCCCGGCGACACCATGGCAGCCAAGCTGCTCACCTGCTCCCCCCGCCCCTCTGCCACTGCTGCTGCTGCTGCTGCTGCTGCCTCCAAGGTGCCCGTGCTTGATCTGGACGGGGAGGTCGCACAGGCACTTAGGGAGCGAGCAGCAGTGGAGGCAGCTGCAGCGGCGAGAGGGGCGAGCGAGGAGGAGGTGGTAGCTGCAGTCGAGGCGCACATGTGCGCTCTGGGTCGCGCCAGGTGGGTGTGAGGGCTGCTTGCTCGGCACTTGCTGCTGCTGCTGTTGCTGCTCGAAGGGTGTGCGTGCACACCTCTCTCTCCCACCTTCCTGCTCTCGCTTTGGCCCCTCTTGTCCCTTCTTCCCTCCCCCCCTTGCCTCAGTTTGTCTTTTTACTCCTCTTCCCCAACTTGCCTTCCTTTGGATAATTCCTGACATTCCCTCTTTTTCCTCTTTTCAGCGATTCTTACTCCCCTCCCCCCTCCTTCCTCCCTTCGGCTATTCGTTCTCCTCTTCTCCCTCGTCCCCCTTCCTCAGGGCGAGCATGTTTGGCTGGCAGGACACGTACGCACTGAGCAAGTCAATGGGGGAGATGGCACTGGCGGAGCAGCACAACGGGGCGGAAGGGGAAGCGCCGGTGCCGGTGGTGGTGGTGCGGCCGAGCATAGTGGAGAGTGCACTCTACGAGCCCATGCCCGGATGGATCGAAGGCTTTCGGTGAGCGTGCAACTTTCACATTGTGCGTCACTTGTCAATCTGTCTGTTTTGCTTGCCGTAAGCTTTTTCCCTATTAATTTTTTTGTGCATTACCCCTCACACTCGTCCTTTCCTTTGCACCTGCCCTTCTCACTAGCCCCTGTCGTGCTGAGAACCATAGTGGCTAAGCCCATTCTCATGCCATGCGTCAAGATTCCAAGTTGACGCACACTCGTCCCTTCCTTTGCACTTCCCTGTCTCATGCTCTTATCACACTATTACTACATCATGTTTCATACTCTTCCCTCACTCGTCTCACTGGCCAAATGCCAGGATGACAGATCCAGTGCTCATGGCATACGGCAAGGGAGCCATTCCAGGCTTCCTCGCTAAGCCAGACGGCGTCTGTGACATGGTGAGGGCACGTCCTCGGCTCGTTCCTACCCAGGCTTCTTGCATTCCTAACATCCCTTTTTGCCAAAAATCCTACTTTCCCATTTCATCTATCCTCCCACCCTCCACAAACTTCCCCATTCCCCCGTCCCCTCCTCCTCCCTCCCCACCCCCAATCCTCTCTTCCAGCTCTGGTCCATTTTTTGCCCATTTTGAACGTGTTATTTCCTCTCCATTCGCGATGTCTTTGTCTGAGGGAACTCTGAAGTTCAGAACTGCATGCCACGAGTGTGGCCAGAAGCATCAAGAAGAGCCTCCATGGTATTCAGACTGTTTCTGTCCCGACTGTTTCCTGCATTTAGATTCCAGTGGACCTGCTCTCCAACGCCATCCTTGCCATCGCTGCCAGAAATGCAAAGACACCACGCAGCAGCACCAGTAGCAGCAGCAGCAGCAGCAGCAGCAGCAGCAGCAGCGCCAGCCCCAGCAGCAGCCCCAGCTCCAGCCCCAGTTCCAGCTGCTCCAGCGCCAGCTCCAAGTATCACCTGCCCCGTGTGTACCATGTCACGACTTCAGTTGCTAACCCGCTGCGCTTCAGTGTGATTGCTGTTGCTCTCACTTAGCATTTTGCTGCAAACCCCATGAAGCGGAAGGATGGAACTCCTATCGTTGTATCCCCTGCGATACTCTTTCCATGGGTTAGGCTCTACAGGGTGGCTATTTGGTTTCAGTATCGACTGCCCAGGCTTGTAAGTCACGCCTCCTCCTTCCCTCTTGTTCTTGTGTGTTTGGGCTCTTCTTCTCCCTCCTCACCTCACTCAGATATCACTTTTCCACATTTGCTGTGCAGTTAATGAAAATTGATCCAAGAAATGGACCAGCACAGCAGCAACGGGCTGCGATGTTAACAAGGAGGCACAACCATTGCGAGCGCTTAGCTAGGGTTTACGCCCCTTACTGTCTAGGAAAGGCGCGGTAAGATATCAACTTTCGAACAGCACTGAAAACCATTCACTATGTATATTTGCTACTCAGCGTGTTGCTATGCATGCAGGTTTGACTCGAGCAACACCGAAGACTTGTTCTCTGCAATGTCACTTGAAGAGCAACAAATCTTCAAGTGCAATGTCTCTGACATCAATTGGAACGACTACATCTGCCTCGTTCACATCCCTGGCTTGCGCAAGTTCGTTGTGAAGGAAAAGGCCTCTTAAAAGTTGGATATGTAGTTTAGGAACGGTTGTCAAGGCCCTAAACTGGTTCTTGGCCATCTTGGACAAATATGGTGCACCTTGTGGTTTTTGCCCATGGTTAAGGCGGAAGGTGATTGCCCTGTTTGGAAAACGGTAATATGATTGCGTTTCTTTCATCCCGATTGCATCAAAGGGAACAACAACGGTACAGTAAGGTATGAGTTTTGTTACTAAAAAAAAGCCCTTAGGATCTTTACTATGATTAGCTCTGAGTAAAAAAATGTTGTAGTAGCGGAAGCGTTTAATGATAAGTCTTTGAACCACCTTGCGCTGGTATGTGAGGGCAAAGTAGATTGATTAAAACAAAGAGATACAAGGTTTTTATAAGAGTACAAGAAATGTGAAGAGATATAGCTAATAACCGTTTTACTGTTGCTGTTGCGGTTTGATACAGTGACGACTCGGGCAACTGCTCAATAACGAGTCAGTTGTTTGTCCTTGCTGTCGCGCTGTATTTGTCGAGTCAAAGGTCAGCGACCTTTGACCTTCGCGTAACCTCCGGCTGTTACTTTTCTGTCAACCTCCTCGGTTGACTCGTTGGTGCTTTGTTGTAGTTTGCTTCGCTTGTGGTTCGGTGTTTCGGCACTTCAGAGGTGCTTAAGTCACTTGTTTCCAACACTCCCCTTCGCTTCTGGAGTGTCGCTGCTGGTGACGTGGCCCTGTCCAGTCAGCAGCATGCAGTACTCGAACTTCTGCTTTCCGAGCTTCTTGGTCAAATAGTCGGCTGCCATCTCGGACGTTGGGCAGTAAGACAGCTCGAGTCTCCCTTTCTCGATCTCGTCTTTCACGAAGAAATATCGCAGAGCGATGTGCTTTGTCCTGTTCGCGAATCCATTTTTGTTGGCTATGCGAATTGCTGACTGGTTGTCGCAGAACAGGGAGAAGCTGGTGTCAAACATATTTATGTATGTTATAAAGTTGGGTAGCCTGTAGTGGGGTAGACTATTAGGGGTACAACACTTTAGGGTTCTTCCTTGTACCAAAATCACTCGACACTCTAGTCCACTTTTCACCTACTATTCTGATATGGTATAGAGCAGGAGGTCCTTAGGACCTTAGGAAATATTTTTTCCGGGCCCACACTACTGTTACCACGTTACGCCGCGCCTTGTCTACCCTACCCTGCGTCGCGCACTACCGCGCACGCCCTGCCTTTGCCCGCGCGCGGCCCGCTAGACCCGCGCGTCGTTTTTTTTTTCCTGGCCCGCGCGCTGCCCGCTCACTGCGCGCGCGACCCGCGAGTCGCCTCTGCGGGCCCGCGCGCAGCCCGCGGGCAACCTGCGCGGCCCGCGCGTCGCCTCTGCTGGCCCGCGTGCAGCCCGCCAGCAGCCCGCGCGACCCGCCAGCTGCATGCGCAGCCTACGAGCGGCCCCTTCCAGCCCGTCGCAGCCCCCCGTCGCGGCCCTTGCGCGGCCCCCACGCCGCTCTTTCACGGCCCTTCGCGGCCCCTTTCGCGCCCCCCCCCCCCCCCTTTCGCGGCCCCTTGCGCGGCCCCTGCAGCAGCCGCCCCTGGAGCAGCCGCCCCTGCAGCAGCCGCCCCTGGAGCAGCCGCCCCTGGAGCAGCCGCCCCTGGAGCAGCCGCCCCTGGAGCAGCCGCCCCTGCAGCAGCCGCCCCTGGAGCAGCCGCCCCTGGAGCAGCCGCCCCTGGAGCAGCCGCCCCTGCAGCAGCCGCCCCTGGCCCCTGGAACAGCCGCCCCTGCAGCAGCCGCCCCTCGCCCCTGCAGCAGCCGCCTCTGCAGCTGCCCAGGAGCCCTCGCCCTGCAGTAGTAGCGGCCTTGCCGTTACTGCCATCGTACGCCTGCCCTTCTCGCCACTGGTGAGCACTGCCCTGCTGCTGCTACTGCTAGCCTGCTGCTGCTGCTGTCATGGCTACTCCCGCTGTTCTTACCTTCGATGCTGAGGGTCGTGCGATCGACTTTGAGGTCTGGCTGGATGATCTGCAGCTTTTCCTGCAGTGTGATAGCAAAGACGACCTCTCACTGTTCGATCTCACGTCTGGTGCCTCTACTGCCCCTGCTGCTGATGCTGACAGCACTACTCGCTCCCGCTGGAACACACGCGATGCTGCTGCCCGCCTTGCTGTGCGCAGTCACCTGCCCCCCGCTGAGCGCGCGCACTTTAGTCAATACAAAACTGCTAAGGCCCTGTACGATGCTGTCGTTGCACGCTACTCCTCCCCTGCCTCTGCTGCCCTTAGTCGCCTCATGTTGCCGTACCTTTTCCCTGAACTTGCTGCCTTTGCTACAGTCGCTGACCTCATTACGCACCTCCGCACTAGTGACACCCGCTACCGTGCTGCGCTTCCTGCTGAGTTCCACGCCCAGAACCCCCCTCCCATGTATATCACCCTCTACTACCTAGTCACCCGGCTCCCTGACTCCCTTCGCTCGGTCAGGGACCACTTCCTTGCTGTCTGCCCTACCACTCTCACCGTTGACCTCCTCGAGAAGGAGCTCCTTGCAGCTGAGCAGAGCATAGTCGCTGTAGGAGCCTCTCGAGGTGACCCTCGTACCCCTGTCTTTGAGGGGTGCTCCCCCGTTCCCCTTTTGCCCTCTGTTGCCTCTGCTGCTGCTGTCGACCTCCTTGGCACTGAGTCGGTCGGCGCTGCGTCTGCCCCTAGCGGGAGGCGCCGCAACAGCAAGGGTAAGGGGGGCAAGGGAGCTGGAGGAGCTGGCGGGGGTGGTGGTGGTGGCGGTGGAGGCGGCGGAGGGGGTGGGGGTGGAGGTGGGAGTGGTGGCGGAGGTGGGGGCTCTGGTGGCAGCGGTGGAGGCGGAGGCAGCGGCAGCGGCGGCGGTGGGAGTGGAGGAGGTGGCGGTGGCGGCGGTGGCGGCGGTGGCGGCGGTGGCGGCGGTGGCGGCGGTGGCGGCGGTGGAGGCGGTGGCGGCGGTCGGAGTGGCTCCGCGCAGCGAGGAGGCTTCGGTGGTGGCCAGCGTCAGCAGCAGCAGCGCTCTCGTGAGGCCCCGCCACCCCAGCAGCTTCACCAGTGGTACGCTGGGCGTCAGCGGCCTGGGGGTGCTGGTCCCTGTACGTACTTCTTCCGTACTGGTGACCGCACTGGGGAGCAGTGTGGCGGCCCGCACACCACTCAGCGCTGCTTCGGCCGCCTGACAGATGCCTGGCGTCTCCGGTTCCCTGACGCCACTGAGCTCCCTCGCTGGCATGATCTGCTTAGGTCGGGAGTTGCTATCTTTGATCTTGACTATGATGCTATCCTTGCTGCCATGTATGTTATGTCTACTAGTGATGACGGTGACTGTTACCTGAGTGTTCCGCCCGACCCAGGCGGTGCAGCTGCTGCTCTAGGTGCCAGTGAGTCTGCTGCTCCAGGTGCTAGTGAGTCTGCTGCCCCAGGTGCTAGTGAGTCTGCTGCCCCAGGTGCTGGTGAGTCTGCTCTCTCAGGTACCACGTCGGCTCAGGCGTCGCACACTTTCACCCTTGACTCGGGTGCTTCCCGCTCCTTCTTTCGAGACCGCACCACACTCACGCCGCTCAGTCGGCCGGTTGCGGTCTCCCTAGCAGACCCCTCTGGGGGTCCTGTCCTTGCCCACTACTCCACTGTCCTACCGTGTCCAGCGGTCCCGTCTGGCTCCCTGTCGGGTCTTTACCTCCCCTCGTTCTCTACGAACTTGGTGGCGGGTGCTGACCTACAGGATGGGGGGGTTGACCAGTTCACCCCTGCACGTCAGCGGGTGACCCACTGCACGTGTGCGGACACAGGCCGACACTTGGCCACGTTTACCCGTCGGCCGGGGTCGAGCCTGTACACCCTGACTACCGAGTCTCCTCCGGTTGCTGTGCCTGGTCAGGTAGCTGCGTCGGGTCAGGTGTTTGCTGCAGCGTCTCGGTCTGGTCCTGAGTCTGCTCCCTGCTCGTGTCGCCTCCTGTCCCACCAGACTCTTCTCTGGCACCACCGTCTTGGTCACCCCTCCCTGCCTCGTCTCCGAGGCATGGCCTCTCGTGTCCTGGTCTCTGATCTCCCGCGGTCTCTCCCTCCCCTCCCTCCGGGGCCTGCCCCTACCTGCGTTCCCTGCGTCGAGGGGCGGCAGCGCGCCACTCCTCACTCCTCCGAGTTTCCGCCGACAGAGGCTCCGCTGCAGACTCTTCACATGGACGTGTGGGGCCCAGCCCGCGTCCGTGGACAGGGTCACGAGCGCTACTTCCTGCTGGTGGTTGACGACTACTCGCGTTACACCTCAGTCTTCCCCTTGCGCCGCAAGGATGAGGTCACTGAGGTGTTGATCGACTGGATCCGCGCTGCTCGTCTCCAGCTCAGGAAGAGTTTCGGCTCGGACTTTCCTGTTCTGCGTCTGCACTCCGACAGAGGTGGGGAGTTTTCCTCCGGCCCTCTACGAGCCTTCTGTCGTGCGAGGGGCATCCGCCAGACGTTCACGCTTCCGGCCTCTCCGCAACAAAATGGGATTGCTGAGCGCCGCATTGGCATGGTCATGGATGTCGCTCGTACGTCCATGATCCATGCGGCTGCTCCCCATTTTCTGTGGCCGTTTGCGGTTCAGTACGCGGCGCATCAGATCAACCTTCAGCCCCGAGTCTCCTTGCCGGAGACCTCCCCCACTCTGCTGTGGACGGGGAAGGTTGGCGATGCGTCTGCGTTCCGTGTCTGGGGATCTCGGGCTTTTGTCCGAGACTTGTCTGCGGACAAGATGTCCTCCCGTGCTGTTCCCTGCGTCTTCCTTGGCTTCCCCCCTGACGCGCCTGGTTGGCAGTTTTACCACCCCACCTCGCGCCGTGTTCTGTCCTCCCAGGACGTCACGTTTGACGAGTCGGTTCCGTACTACCGTCTCTTCCCCTACCGCGCTGCCCCCCCCCCCCCCCGCCGCTCTTCCTTACGCCAGGTCCCCCCCCGGTAGACCCCCTCCCCCCTCAGGGTCCTGCTCCATCAGGTGTGTCTCAAGTAGACCCCCCCCCCCTTGGCTGAGCCTTTGGAGGTCACTTCTGACACC